AGAATTAAAATATACCTATAACTTATTTCGTAATTTATGAAGCATTTCAACAATTTTTGTTTGCCGTGACAAGTGTGTTAACAGTTTATAGTTAATGAAAAGCTTTAAAAACAGACAGTAAAACGAAAAATAAACACATAGCGCCTTTAAAACTTGTATAAGCTTTTTTAAAAATCAAACTAATTTGATGGTTAGGTCAAAAATAAAAAATAAAAACGATGGCGGATAGATAATATTTTGTATTTGATTAAGTTCTAAGCTGTAAGCGTTTCCGTGTTAATACTTATGTCAAATTTTATGTCAAATTATGTCAAAAATTGTGCTGATGAAGGCATTGGAAAAAATTTACCATTAATAAAAGGTGTCACTCTGGATTAATTTTGTGAATAAAATAACTTTTTCCTAAGATAAAAATAAAGTCTATCAATTTATTTTAAATTTCATTTTGTAAACGTAAGAGTAATCTTTAGTATAATGATATTTTTGTGAAAACTTTAAATGAAGAAGAGAAAATTACAGAATATATAGCACAAGCAAAAAAAGAAATGAATTTAAATCAAAGAATGTTAAAGTAAACTTGAGTGGTATGAAACGCTATCGTTTGATGACGAAGATGTTTTATAAATAGGCTGTAAAAGTAGTAAAAATAGCCTATTTATAAAACCATTTATAAATAGGCTGGTTTTAAAAAATAACTTGGTAAAAACGGAAAAGTTTTTAAAGTAACTAACTTCATACAAAACAGTATATAATATAGCATAAGTAACTGCTTTTGAAGCTTTTCATAGAAAAACCCGAGTTAAAGAACCTTTATCTTGGGTTATTTTGGGGCGTTCAAAAGTTAAAAATATTATAAAGATTACAACTTCCTTAAGACTTAAAACTTTATTCGAGAATAATTTATAGACTGGTTTTTATTTAAAGGGGAGATGCTACCTTTATGAAAATTTCGTTTTCAGACAATACTTAACATAATAAGTATGAAAAAACAAAATTTTCTAACTTTAGAACCAATATAAATCAAAGTGTATTAAAAATATTTGGCAAATAAATATTAAGATTTTTCACTTCAAATAAAAAAGGTTTGGCATGAGCAAACCTGTCTTTAAAATTTATTAGATAAACAACATGTTTCTGCTGACGATAAAATGGTAACATTTTAGATTTATTGGTATTAACCCAAGGAATATTTGCAAAATTTAATTGGTAATAAATCAAAGAGAAATATAACGCTGTGTTTATTTAAAGTTTTTTTTAGTTTATACATAATTTCTATACTTTTAGCAACTTTGTTACACAAATATTCCATGTAATATTTTTAGGTAAGATTTTCATATAATTGTTTTATATAATTTCACATAAATGTTTAAAATAAATGCAAAGTTTATATATAACTATAGATATTTAAAAACTTAGATAAAAAGTAAGAGCATGTCATAAGTCACAAATACAAAAAAAGTTTCACCACTTTTAGACAAGTCTAGGGCCGTGAATTTGGAATATTTGAAAAATCCGGCTCAAGGTAAACGAATTACCTTTCCATAAGTTTTGTCACAATTGGACATTTTTAAGCCATATTAGGACCAACTTATGCAAAAAGTTTATTAAATTCATTAGGCATCACATTTTACCATAAGGTGTTTCACCATCAATTTTAATAGCTTTATGCAATGTACCCGTTTTTCATTTCTGCATGTTAGAGAGTTCCCTTGAAATTATTCGCGTACGTTTTAAATTTCTTATTTCTCTCAAGCAAATTAAAGTAGTATATATATATATATATATATATATATATATATATATATATATATATATATATATATATATATATATATATATATATATATATATATATATATATATATATATATATATATATATATATATATATATATATATATATATATATATATATATATATATATATATATATATATATATATATATATATATATATATATATAGTATATATATTACTGTTACCCGCAGTATCAGGAATTAGCTAAATGCTAATATTTATAATATTATATTGCGACTTAAATTTTTATGTGTTACCACAATCATCAGGCAAGTAGTCAAAAGTTAATTTTGCTACAAAGTGTTTAGGAAAAATTTATGGTTTATATTAGTATTTTGGATCGTTATGGGACGGAAACTGTTTAGTATTTAAGGGTAATGTTATTATTAATTTGTTTTTGGTTAATATATGTGAATTTGTTGTATGTTTTAATGTCTGTTATAAAAATACGATTTAATAATAATGTGAATTGTTTTTAAAAATTATTGTATTAAAAATAAATGAATATAAAAATAAGTTTCAAAAGTGGGTATAAGAATATAAATTATATTACGAAATATATTACAAAAGCTGTGTATGTGAATAATTTATTGGTTAGCCTAGAGGTGTACGAGATAGGGTTGCGTAGTTAATGTTAGTGGTTAGTTATGTTTGTAGCGAGCTTTGTAGTTTTTTAATAAAAACTTGTTTTCGTGGCGGCACTTTGATATGATTTCGTTTCGTTTATTTAGGAGTTCATCAGGTTTAGGATAGGATATAATTGCGAATTTCTCGTATAGGCATAGTGGGCACCTTTTGGAAATATTTGAGTAGGGGGGTACAGATTTCAGAATAGACCATGTAAATATTGGGGTTTCGTTAAAATTGTTTTTCAAATCCCAGACGTTAAAATTGTTTTTCAAATCCCAGACGTAGTTTGATAAGGCGGTGGACTTTTTGTATTTAACATTATTGAATGATGATTTGTGATTATATATATATATATATATATATATATATATATATATATATATATATATATATATATATATATATATATATATATATATATATATATATATATATATATATATATATATATATATATATATATATATATATATATATATATATATATATATATATATATATATATACATATATATAAATATTGCAATTTTAAAGAATTTTATTCTGCTGATCGTTGAAAACAATTCTTGAATGGAACAGAAGCCTTGCATGCATTTTGAATGAGTATAAAAAAATATATCCTAAAATACCTTTACTCCATCTTAAACAATATCAATTTGTAAAATTCTAAAAAACATTTTATTCTTACTATTTGGCATTATTATCCGTAGGATTTAAATATTGTTTTAGTTTTCTTTTCGTAATTATTACAATTATCATCAGCACTTTTTTATTTTTTTTTTATTAGTAAAACTTGCAAATTGATTTCTACATGTTTGTTTTGATGAATATTTTATGTGCTTTCCCGACGTGCATTTGTTTTAAAAAGTTACGATCTAAATGTATTTTAAATGTCTTTTAAACGTCTTTTAAACATTAATGTTTAAAAGACGTTTTAATTTACGAAAATAAACAGCTTGTTGTTGTTGTTGTTGCAAAATTCCTGTTACTAAGAACTATTAAAATTTTTATTACAATTTAAGGAAATATTAAGGAAAGATAAAATTTATGTATCTTTTTTTAGATCAAAATTTTGTTCAATTATTTTCAAAATTTTGTTCGATTAAGTTCAAAATTTTGTTCAATTAATTTTGTATTTTTTAAAATTATTTCTAAAACTTTCTTTTAAAGTTGTTTTTAAAACTGTTTTTAAAAATTCATTTTAAAAGTAGTTGAAATGATGTAACGGCAGAATGCAGACCAGTTGTTTACAAAACTTTGATTGTAGTATGTAAATACTGTGAAGTGTAAATATAAGTAAATAATATTTTCGTAAAGGATGAATATTGGAAAATATGTTATTTTAAAATTAGGATCGCAACGAAATTTATTATAACGCCAGATAACTTTAAAAATGGAAAAAACGTCAGAAATAAACTTTTTTAATCTAAAATGTAACTTTTTAAGGGTTCCTTCAAATATTGGTTCATTAATATGCAAGATCGTACATTCAAAAATACTATACTTATAAAAGTAACAATGTTTTAAGGTCTCTTTATATTCGAAGTGCATCTTTAAGTCTCTTTATAACAGAAGTGCATGGCAATTGGCATTGTTGTTTATAAAAACTACGCATCGCAAAATTCTAGGTGTTTTTTGTGTCGATTTACGGTTGGTGTGACAACCACTCTATTTGCCTAAATTACATAATTTTAGTTCAAACTTACGCAACCTGCGTAGGTCTTTATTTTGTGTATGTTTTTAATATAGAAATAGCTTTATCGCACATTCAAAAAATTTTACAATCTTTGGCTTTAAGTGAAGAGAGAGGGTGGTGAGGTGACGTAAGAGCTGGAAAACCTCAGGCAGAGGCGTACCGAGGGTGAGGTGCCTACGAAATTTATTAGTCGGCAAATCGGACACTGGAATAGGCGAAATTGGATCTATAGTTGGCTGTCGGCAAATATAAGCAACCGAGGACCTTTCATTTTATTTTTGATCTTAGTCGAGAAAAAAAAAATTTCTAAGCCTTACTTTGCAAAAAACAGATACGTTGTTCCCCCCTCCCCCACCCTTTCTTTAAGATCTCTTCGGAACGGCCCTGACCACAGATATCATTATAAGCAACTGAATGGTATAACCTCTTGCTTTCATTACAAAATCTTATTTTGTAACTGTGCTGTTAAATACAATTTTTTAGATTTTTGCAAATGGGCGTATAAATAGTTATACAAAAATCTTAATCAATATATTTAGTACATTTAATATATTTTGATATACTTTATTATGAATTTTTTTAGATCTTTTCTTTATCAGTTTTTATCATTTTTGAATATTTTCTTTATCACGATAAAAATTGATTTACTTGTTAATGTAAAATTTGATCTCGAAAATTGCAGAAAGCAATTGAGAACTTTCCAAATGTACTTTATAAGCGCACGTTTTAACAAAAAAGCAGCTCTGAGAGGGAGGTAACTAAACTCTTTTTCTGACGAACAGAAAAAAAAAGTTTATTACGTCCAATCATATTTTTTTATAAAACAAACACGATTATTACGTTTTTATTACAATAAACTATGTCAAAGGAAATAAAGTGCAATTATTTTACCTTTTTCAATAATTAAAATAAATATTCGAAACTGAAACAATTTTTTTTTGGATAGTTCAAAAGAGATTTTACTTCAAAAGTAATACACCATTGTGCCATCTATTAAAGTATCTTTATAAATAGTGTAATGTTTCCTTTTTGATTCTTGTTATCGTTATGTCATTCCTACATTTACAAAGATTTAAAAAAGAATATAAAAATATATTATATAAATTTTAGGAAAAATAAAAATGTAAATGAATATCACTGAGGTAAGCTATTTATTTTCCACTTAATTTTTTCTTATCATTTATCATTGCTTACATGGTTATCATTGCTTTTAGAACTTTTAGAATGAAAAGTTGAGAAAATGTTTGCTTCGTGGAAATTTGCTTCTAGGGTAGACGAAATAGGATAGTATGATTTTTATAAATTTGCTAAAATTTATTCAGTTTACATTTTAGACAGGAAAACAAAAACGCCAATATAGAAAAAAATATTTTCAAATTATTTTAGTTTGGTCATGTAATGAATAAATCATTTATCTTTTACAAAAAATAAAAACTTTATATTTAAAACTATTCTAAGTTTTAAACAATGTACGTAAAATAATTGACAGGCACAGACACATGTGGGTTGGAAGGGAAAAGGGATAAGGTGGCAAATCAGAATTATTATTACTATTTTGTTTTTGTATTTTTTACCGAATGAAAAATGAATGTTAGAATAAAAAAAGCTAACTTTTTCAACAGCAAAGCTAACTCATTTAACTTGTTGAAAAAGGTTGAATTCATTACTCGGACCCAAACTCGGATTAAACTTTGGAAATTTTAAAACATTTTTCGTTTCGCATTAAAAATTAACCTTTCGCTTTGCAATCCAAGTAAAAACTGATGTGGAGAAATGCGACTGCAAAAAAGGTGATGGTGTTTTATGAATGTCATCATCTGCTAATCATAATCCTATTTTGTTATTTACTTGATAACACTTTGTCAACAAGTATAATGCAATGAGTTTTAACACTTTTATAACAACACATTATCTTGAACAAATCTGTTCAAGTTCTGTACTTATATTTGAAAAATCTCTCTGAAGGGGGGGGGGCAACCCTGCTTATCTATTCACACAATATGTAACCCTGCTTATCTATTCTTTCAATATGTCTCCTACAATTATGCCCCACCATTGAGCCCGGAACACCCCTGCTATTTAATAATGCAAAATGCACGTTAGAATTATAATCGAGTCTTTACCCAATGTTCTTGTATTACTAATTACGTTTTATTTTTATTATATTAATGTATTTTTTTTATAAACAATTGTTTTCACTTACTTTTGTTATAAGTTAATTAAAAAAAACAGTGTTTTTTTGGTGTTTTATGTTTAAAAGTTTTTGCTTTAGTTATACAAAAATTTCTGCTGAATATCTTTATTTTTATACTTATATTTGTATTCAATACTTAGGATTTTTTTTTACTCATTTGGGTAAATAATATTGATTAAGTTGCATGCTGGGATGGGCGTAGTGGGATAAGCGTAGAAATATTCACAAAACAATCCATCACCATTTGATTTAAAAATGAGCATATTATAATATATTTATACATTACTTAATTTGAATACTAAAATCTTATTAACAATCTATTATTCTATTGGGAAATTTAGCAAAAAAAAGTTTATTAAATATACTTTATGCGTAAATTAAAAAAAATTCTGGTTAAATTTTATCGAAAAAATAAATTAAATAATATTATGATTTATAAAGTTTACGGCTGATAGTGATATAAAGCATTGACGTAAATAAATAAGCTACATCTTTATTTAATTTTAGTATACGTCAGTATTTCAACAAGAAACATGGCAATTATTTTGGTATGCTATAATTGGAATATTCGGATTTATTGGAAATGGCATTGTAATGACCGTTATTTTACTATCAAAAAAAATCAATCGCAAATCATCATTTAATGTCGCCATATTTTCATTAGCACTTGCCGATTTTTTGGTATCAATACTTGGTTTACCAATTTATTATATGTCAACAGACTCCTTTAAAAATCATCCCATTGGTAAAAAAGGAGATTGGATGTGTATGCTTTTGACAGGTTATTTTTTACCCTATTGGTTTCTAGATGCTTCAGTTTTTTTACTTGTGTATATTGCGATTGAGAGAAGAAACACAATTTTGTATTATAATTCTTTGAAACTAAATTCAAGTTCATTTAGAACCAAACTACTAACAATGGTTGCAATTTACTTATTTGCTTTAATAGTACAATTTTCAAGTGCATATTTTTTAGTTTATGATACAGAAAAAAAAGAATTTGGAAACTACTGTCGGTATAATTTATCGCAAAACCAGTCAGCCGTTCTTAAAATTATTTTATTTACTGTTGACACTCTAGTTCCTATTGTAGTTATTTCGTATTGTTTTTACCAGATTTTTTTGTCGCTTAAAATAATTGACAAGTTATTAAGAAAATCAATGGTTACACCTACGTGCAAAAGAATTAAAATCGATGTTGTTCATGATCGTAAGGTAAGAACAATAAAAACAATTGTTATTATCGCCTTAGCGTTTTGTATTTGTATTATACCGAACCAACTACTATTTGTCTTATCATCAATACATAAATCTTTTTTTGCTTGGAATGGAATAACTTCGCAAATATTTGTTTTAATGCGATTTTCAAATTCATTTGTCAACCCTTTTGTATACTGTTTCCAGAGTAAAGAGTTTAGAAAACATTTTTCATCGATGTTGGTTTTCAACTTCCGAAAAAAATATTTGACTCCAACCGGTTGCAAATATTCCGATTATCAACAATTACCTGATATAACTTTGAAATAAATTTTATTTTGATATGACTTTGAAATGAATTTTGTTTTCATTTATTTACATACAAGTGAGTGCTGTAGATGTAACTGCAACCTTTTTATTTTTGTAACTAAGATTTTTGCACCTCATACAAAATCATTTTAAAATAACTAATTTAAAATGAAAAGTACTTAAATTAAAATAAACAAATTGTTTATTACTTGAATTTTTTAAAATTAAACTCAAAACTTAGCCGTAACCGGTAACCGATAATTTTACTCAAAAAATTTTCCTGTGAATACCATCCCTTAAAGTTTAAAATTTTCACGGAATTATTTTTATTAAATCTAAGAACTTTGAAGATCTCAAAAGTTATCTTTTTCAAAACTTATCTTTTTTAAAACTCACTTGTTTATTTTCAGATAAATAATGATTTTAGTACAGTTTTAGTATCTTTAGTAGAGTTGAGCTCGCGTAGTTCGAATCCTCAAGGGGCCTCGATATATGTTCGGATTGCATGAGTTTTTGAATGATAGAAATTTGTTTGATTTAATTTAAATCAAACAAATTCAATTTTTAAATAATCTTTTGTATTATAAGAGTTCTAATTACAAGAGAAGCAACTGTAAAAGGTACATCATTATAGTAGTATCAACAAAAACAAAATAATGAAATATAACAAAAAATTGAAAATAAACGTTAAAATAAGAAAAAAATAGGAATGAAAACAACAATGAAATACGTGATAACGTGATGAAAGACGCATGAAGTTGAATTTTAATCTTGTTTTTATGCAGTTATAAATTGTAGTAAACTCTAAAAGTCGAAGATAATTTGAAATATGATGGAGACAATATTTGAATGTTTTTTATACGCATCGGGTTGAAGCGAGTAGACTAAGATGAGGCATAACGGCAAATGGGGTAAGTAAATAAGTTTTTTTCTATAAAACTCAATTTAAAAAAATTTTAAAAGAGAGGCAAAAAAAAAAGAGTATATAGCTTTTATTTTAAAATACCAATCGGCTTTTTTAATTATTATTAAAATGATTTAAAAAAAAAATGATTTAATGTGGATATAATGTAAAGTTAAACAACTATTGAATTTTCTGTTTTTGTTAATTATCATTTAAAATAAGAAACATTTTTAAATTTTGGCGCAGTATATTATAGAAATTTCGCTCCCATACCCAGCTTTGTGAAAGAAAAAAAAACATCAGGCTTTTTAAAAAAATATCCTTCCTCGGCCAATGACCTAATTTTTGTAAATGCAATTCATTATAGTGAAGCTGCACCGAGCAGTGAACGCCTTAAAGATAAATAATAAGTTAGCAGTAAATAAGAGTTTAGTAGAGTGAGATAAAAGTACAAAAAGACAAATTTCCAGTGGAAAACAAAAAGCCTCAAAGTAGAAAAACTGATATAAGTAAAATGTAGTAAAAAATAAATAAGAACAATAAACAATTGTCAAGGAAAGTAAGAGTCATTAATTGTTGTGCTACTAAATTGTTGTTAGTATCGAGCGTAAATGTGATGTATAGGCAGAATTAGTGATGGAGTAGAATTATTCGGTTTATAAATAGTTACCATGTGGTCTGTATTATTAGGGTGATAAACATACATTATAGATATAAGTGTGTCATAAACGTATCGAGTACAGTATGGGTTTGTGCCTTATGGTACAGTATGAACACATGAAGGCCTCAAGCTTTCATTCAAGACTGGTATCCAAAAAGAAGTTCCAATCTGGACCTACACCACGGTATCTTTTTGAGTTATCCCATTGTGTTATCCCAAAAAGACTACTCTTAGAGTATCCCGTCAGGCCGATTGCCACAGACTTCTGAATTGACTCTGAGACCAGAGGACACTTTGTGGGGTTCATTACAACTTTTAAACAATAGTAAGTAATTTCTTGACATGAGTGTCCATAAGTGCAGTGGTTTGTCACAGTATAACATGGGCCAGTGAGAGTTGTGAACTGTTTTGAGTTCTTATAGCTATGCCATTACACGCATAGTAGTCAATGTAGTGTACGTGTGTATGGCCACTGTAGTAGTATGTCTTCATAGTAAGAGTTATCAGTATAAAAAAAAGTTGAAAGTCATTTCAATTGGTGTAGCGTAAGCTAGACGCGAATACTAGTAGTCTTATGACGTGTATCTGGAGAATAAACAAACTATTACAACTAGATGATCTAATTATAAACCAGAATCACATCAATTTAGCAACAAAAACTAATATATAAATTTTTTAACTAATAATTTGTATATATATTCTACCACTAATACTTAAAAATCATATGGAGTTTTTGTAGTTTAACAGGTAAATGTATGTGGTTCGAAAGTGTGTTTTGTATTTTGTATAAATGAAAAGGTTTACAGTGCATTAGTCACATGACTGTAATGTTACGAGGAGTATCTAAAGTGGAATAGAATTATTCGTTTTATAAAACTGTTAGCAGGTAGCCTTTAGTTAATTAACTAAATTATATGTATAGCATAGCCTGTTTTTTGTTTAATAATATTTATAGTGACTTGAGTCTTAAGTCTTTCAGTGTGAGTTTTTTGTATCAAAATAATATTATTTGTTAGAAACTGGTTATTAAAATTAAGTAATGTAGTATCTAGTTATTGTGTAAAATTATTGTAAATTTTTTTATTTAATAGCTTAATAACTCCTTATAAGCATTTTCCTAATATTTTAACAGAGTGAAGACAATACAATAACAATAACATATATTTATATGTAAGTGTACTAATTAAGTGTTACTACTTATCTTTTATGAAGGGATTTGTATGGGTGTACGTGATAGAGCTAGAGTAGAATTATTTGTTTTTTAAGTAGTTATCAGATGATGTATGTGATGGAACTATCCGTTTTTTAAGTAGTTATCAGATGATGTATGTAACAGAGCTGGAGTAGAATTATTCGTTTTTTAAGTAGTTATCAGATGGTAAGTATACTATTATACTAACCCTGACAGGAGGAGGGGTAGAGTAATTTGTATAGAATAATCCAAATTTTAGAGCATTATAATAGCCCTGACAGAAGTGTAAGAATAATTTGTACATGATAGTCAAATTTTAGAGCATGTATGGTGACAGTAGAAATCAGTAATTGTAATGGTTATGGTTAGCTGAACTGTTAGTATTTGATCTGACTGATGAAAAGCAGTGGTAATATTTAGAGTGGAATGATTTATTTCATAAATATTTTGTGTGGTGTTGTTTGCGTCATAGGAAACTGATAAATTTTCTTTTTGTAAGCTTCTCAATTTCTCATAACCAATCAGCAAACATCGTTTTAGTAGATTTGCAGTTAATTTTTATAGACATTTTTTAGCAGTCCATTGGAGATTTGCTCATCGGTTACTTAGTGATAGCCGTTATAAAAGACAAATTGATAACTTTCCAGTTTTTAATTGGGGCTAGTCATCGGCTAGCCGCTTTTGGCGGCTGCCAATGGTCCACTGAGTAACTAATAAGCAAAACTACCGCGATCCGCTCAAAATGCAAATAAAGGTCAACTAAAAAACCCGCCAAGCATCCTATTGCATTCATACTACATACATACTTGTATGTTGTATGAATGCAATAGGATATTTGGAAATGCAAAATTACATGTCCCATGAATGCAATAGGACATTTTTATATAAAAAAAAATTTAAAAATAAGTTGATGGATTGCGCTCCAACAAACAGTAAAGAATTTTTCCAGGAAGTAAAGATTGACGACGGCGAGATTTTTTAAAATGGCCTTATTATTTTGTGTACCACTCTAGTGCGTCAAAACAAATATAAATAATCGACAATTGAAAATTGACAATTGAAAATTGACCTTTTCCTTTTAGATGGCCGCATTGCTCATTAAAGCATGTCAGTTTTATAATACTCAAAAGAAAATGGTATTGTAATATTTTGTTTTCCTGCACCGTGTCCAACCATTTGGTATTGATTTTTATTTGTCCATTACTTATATAGTATTATCAACGAATTCAGACGTAATTAAAGAACCATCCTGGTAGATTTGTGACACATTTTCGGAATCCTGGTCTTTTAAAAAATGCATCAGTAAATGTTGTGCATGCTTTTGTAAAAAACAGAATTTCCTTTCAATTCAAATGTTTTTGAAAACTGGGTGTTTACACTTTAGTTAACAATATAACAAGCTGAACATGTTTAAAGCATTAATAAAATAAAAGAGCTTAAAATGTCAATACATATAGAAGTTAGCTCTCCCACATTATATGCTTCCACCTGTATTGGAACCTCTCAATGTAAGGGCTAAGGTTGAATATACAAAAAATGTCTCCCCGTGACTTAAGCAACTCCAAACACTGAATTTGAAAAAAGCACGAAAATGGCAAAAAACTGGACATCTGATTTCTACTCCGAATATTCAAGAATTAAAACGCAACGCAAAAGAATAAAACGACGAGAAAAAAGAATAAAAAGATATTGCAGTAAAAAATAAAAAGATCGAGCAAAACATAAAAAAAATAAAAAAAACTAAAAATAAAGTATTATTTAAAAAAAATGTGTGTAATGAAAAAAATAATACAAGTAACAATGAAATTGTTTTTGTATCTCGTACATCAAGTTTTTTTTTTGAAGAGCTTTATTCACATTCTTACTCTGTAGAACTTTGAATTTGCTGTCAAAAATGCAACTCTTGGTTAGGGTACGTCATATTAAAAAAACTTTAAAAAATTAAATTTATGAAGTGATTTTATTAAGGTAAATTAAGCAATATTCAACTAAAAAAAAATTTTTTTTTTTTGTGTTAAAATTAACTTGAAAATTGTAAAAAAGCGATAAAAAAAATGCAACTTTGCAACAAAAAATTAACTAAAACCTAACTAAACTTTTTTAAATTTTTAACCATCCAATTTTCTCCTATTTTCTTATTCAATTCTCCTTGTAAAGAGGTTTAAATTTGTTCTGCAGGAGTTCACATACTATACATTTGTTCTAAAGCTATTAAGGTGCCACAACTTGATTTATTATGGCTCAGACCTCGAAGAGATAAGGTTGGTGAAAAATCAGGCTACTAAATATACTA